AAATCTGACACTTTTAATTTCATTGTTTCTGTTGCAGAGGGAATTGTAGCACCTTATGGTCAAACAATTAACATCAACTTTTGAGTTTTCAATACCATTCATTGTGCATTAGTCAGCTCAAGCTGCCATAACAAAATACCATAGCCTAAGTGGCTTGAGCAACAGAAATGTATTCCCCACAGTTCTGAAGATTGGAAGTCCAAGACCAAGGTACCAGAAGGGCTGCTGTCTGGTGAGGGCTCTCTCATTGGGTTGGCGTCTTCTTGTTGAACCCTCATATGTAGAGAGAGAGCAAGTGAGCAAGCTTGTTGGTGTCTCTTCTTATAAGGGCACTAATCCCAGTGGACCAGGGCCCCGCCTTTATGAGCTTATCTACCCCTAATTACCTCCCAAAGGCCTCATCGCCAAATACCATTGCGTTGGGAATTAGGGCTTCGATATATGAATTTGGGGGGGGGCATAATTCAGCCCACAGCACACAGCTAAGGTCTCAGTGGAGTTTAGGTCTTGGCTGAAGCGTGCAAAGAACGTTTCTAAATTGCATTTATTAAAGACAGACTCTTCTATTTCAGTGAGTGGATCTTTTTCACACTCTATTATTCTTATGACATTTGTTAGTATTATTTTATTTTCTTAACAATGAAAATAGTATGTAGAAGATAATTTATAGTTAAAATGTGCCCGAGAATAAAATGATACCTTTAAAAATTTACTTTCACAGAGGTTTTTTTCTAATGCAGAGTCAATTCCTCATTAATAGTTAATGAATTTCTAAATAGCCCAACTTTATATCATATAGAAAAGCTACCCACCATCACTCAGAATAATAAATGTTTCAGCAAACAACACTTTGTGCTAAAGACGTGTTTTAATACAACTTTTCTATATTGGAATTATTATTGCCGTATAGAAGGATTAATTTCTTAACTAGGAAGCTGGAAGGAACAGGTGTTGGTCTATAAGAAAAGCTGTAGACAGCCACTGCAGTAGCCCACACAACACATTCATGCAATCTAAAAAAGAGTAAACTAAAGACTGAAAATATAAAATCATCTTAAAACCCTTTGTTTGAATGATATCGGTGTTTTTTTTATTTACGAAAATGTCTTGGGACATGCTCAAGCCAATTTTTATCTTTTTGTCTACTGTAGGTAGGCTGTTGATAAGGAAGACTGTTTTACTGTTTTTATTTTTAGATTTAAACGGATGTGTACTGTCTTACAATTTTAGAGGCCCATACATTTCTGTAGTGGGTTTTTGTGTAAAGATTGAGTGCTGGGTGTCTAGACGAAGTAGTGTGTCTCTTCGTAGTATCTTTGCTTGCTCGCTTTTGCTATATTAACACATGCATTTTCCTTGTTTATTCTATTTCAGTGTTTATCTGCCGAAGACATTTTTTCCCTTCATGGCTTTTCAAATACCACCCAAGTAACCATCTCAAACTTCTCTGTCATCTGTCCAGCAGTCGTACAGCAACTGAACTTTCACCCTTGCGAGAATCGGCCCAAGCACAAAACAAAACCGAGTCATTCAGAAGGTACTTTGGAAGCGCTTTCTCTCATTTACTTGGAAAGTCACGAAATGAAGTTAACATGCCTCTTTTTCTGCTTTATTACTTTTAATTAATCTGCAAAGAACCCTTGGTAAGATACTTACATTCTGAAAATATTGAGGATGAGAAGAATTATAACTTATTTAAGCTTCGCAAGTTATGTTCTATTTGTGGAGTCAAAATTATAAGTAAGCAATGTATATTTTATGTTGTGCGTATTGGCTCGCACATGAACTGTTTGGCTTATAATTGATCAGTTAATTTTTGTTACCTTTTGCTTATCATATTATTTTAAAACTTGTCAGTTTATTTGCTACTGTCAGTGAAGGGATAGGGAATGAGCATGCTTCTAGATTAAGTCTTAAGGGACCAAGTTTTTACTGTTTTAATTTTCATAGGTGAAAGAAAGTGCCAGCAACTATTTTAAATGTCTATAGTAGTATTGCCGTATGTACTGCATCTTAAAGAAATGATCTACTGCAAGGAAATTTTAAAATAGAAAAAGTATGTGTTTAATACACAGTTCACCTGCTTAAACACTCAGAACAGTACTTTCACTAATCAGATAAACCAGTTGTTCAGGGGGTCTCTTTGACAATTACGTGCAATTTCTTGGTATCTTAAATTTGTTAACTTACCCCAGGTGGGTGTGTTAATTTTGCTTTATTTATTCAATAAACATTTATTGAGCAATATCCCAAGCACTGTTGTGTGCATCGAGGAGTCAGTAATGAACAAGAAGAAAAATACCCTGATCTATTAGGGCTTATAATGTAGTAAGAAGAGAAATAATAAACATTAAACAAACGAACAAATAAATAATGTAGTTTCAGAGTGAAACGTGCTATGAAGAAAATACCGTAGGTAAGGCGCAGAAGGTGACGATGGGTGAGTGTGACTTTAGATAGGTCAGGGAGCCCTCTCTGGTGGAATTCCGTCTGAGCAGAGCCCGGAGTGAGGAGAAGGAGAGGCCCAAGGCTCGGTCTTCCTGGGGGAAGAGCATTCTTGGGGACGGAACAGCCAGCAGAGCTGGAGTAAGGAGCAGCAGGAGGCCGGTGTCTGGAGCCTCCTGAGCAGGGGGGAGGGTGGGAGGAGGTGATTCTTGGAGGGAGATGGAGGCCAGGTGGGGGAGCCTTGTGTGTGTGTGGGGGGGGGGGGGTAAATGGATTGGGGTTTATTCTGACTGTAGTGAGAGGCCACTGGAGGGTTCTGTGCAGGGGACTGCCATGATTTATTCGAATCTGTGAAAGAGTGTTCTACCTGGAGATCATGCCGAAATAGTTTGCCTCTGGGTTGGACGCGGGAAAGGGAAAGATGAGTCAAGGTTTGAGCCAGACAGGTGGGAGGGACGGTTGTCCCATTTCCTGGGAGGGAGAAGCCTGGGGAGGAGCCTTTTGCTGTGGAAGAGGGGAGTGGTGAAGATCAAGACCGTAATTTTTGACATGGTCACTTTGAGCCGTTGACATAAACCCACAAGCGGGGGTGTCCATGAGGTACTGGCGTGCAGGCGTCTGGAGAGGAGATTGCTTCAGAAAAGAGGTCGAGGCTGGAGATTCGCCAGAGTGGAGGGACATATAGATAAAGGGAGGAAAGGGAGGGAAGAAAAGGGAGATTCGGCAAAGAAAGTGCCTGTTTTCCTTACTTTTGGATTCCTTTGTGTACGTACACTTTGATCTCTCTCTATATGAATAACAGGAATAGCAACAATGACAAAAATAACAATGATAATAGCCACTTCTTTCATAGTATTTGCTGTGTGACAGGCACTGTTCCAAGTACTTTGCATATATTAACTCACTCGATCTTCATTCAACTGTATGATGCAGGCACCACTGTTCCCATTTTACAGTGAAGAAAACCAAGGTATGGGGAGTTTAGAGTCATTTGTTCTAAGTTGCACGACTTGTATATGGTAGAGCCAGATTGTACCCAGGCTGTCTTGGCTTCGGAACCTATGTTCTCATTTATATTCTATATTTATAGATACAAAGAATAGAAATCACCAAGCATAATTTATACCATAATTAGCAATTTTGTGAGTAATGATAATTTGAATTTTGAAATAACAGCCATTTTGAACAATTGCTAGTTGTTAGAGCAAATATTTTTGCTGAAGTTATATTTATATTTCTACAAGCCTGTTTAATATACTAACATTTACTGCTAGTATAGTGCAGTAAAAGCAGTGACGCTGAAGTCAGCTTACCGGAGCTCAAATCCCAGCTCTGTAATTGTCCGCTTGTGTTGGGCACATGACTTTAACCTCTTTCTGCCTCAGTTTCCTCATCTGAAATAGTACTTTTCTCATCGGGTTGCTGTGAGGAGTAAACGACTTCACAGTTGTAAAGTGCTTGGAACATTGTCTGGCACAGAGTTAGGCGCTGTATTAGGCCTATTAGTTGGGTCTGTTACATAAATAAAATGTATCTGACTTGTGCAGAATTCTTGGGTACAGGAGATTAGGCTTCAGAAAAAGCAAATCCTCTACTCCCTGCAGGTTAATTACTGATATTCAAAAGTGGTTTTAACCCCAATTGCCTGGGATACTCGATTTCAGGAGTAGCCTCTTACCAGGAGGTCAAAAGCAGGAAGCAAGAGAAAGAATTCTAGGGTCAACACTACAAAGTCATAAAATGGGAAAGTCAACAATTCTAAGTTTTAAAGGATCAGAAAGGCACTGAATGTTTGGACAGAGGACCCAATAAAAAGACAAATGCCTCTTAGGGTGCATATTATCTTAGGAATTGAAATGGGGCTGGAGTGGGATGGGACAGGGTGGGAGAAGACATGAAAAATTTTCTGGGGAATTAGGGAAACTAGTGGAGTACTTGTTATTACCTAAGATGTTTAATTTGGCCATATACTGCCTTTTTTTTTTGAGACAGGGTTTTGCTTTGTCACCCTGGCTAGAGTGCAATGGCATTGTCGTAGCTTATTGCAGCCTCAAACTCCTGGGCTGAAGTGATCCTCCTGCCTCACCCTCCCGAGTAGTTGAGACTACAGGCACGTGCCACCATGCCCGGCTAATTTTTCTGTTTTTTGTAGAGACTGGGTCTCATTCTATATTACCTTTTTGATGTGATATCTAAATTGTTTTATTTTAGTGCAGCTGCGTGATTATTTAATATCTCTGTGCCTCAGTTACCTCATCTGTATAATGGATATAGTGAGAGTAGTACCTTCTTATGGAATTGCTAGGAATATCAGACGAGTTAATGTGTGTAAATGCCTAGAATAGTGCCCGGCCCAGATTGAAAAGAATATGTCTCTGTTCTTCTTATATATGTGTTCGTAGGTTCACCCCATTCCCTGGCCCCTGTGTAATCCTACTCTTTTCCCACAAAGAAATGACTCTTAAAATAATTAAATACACTTGATTCTTGATATAACTGTTCATTTCATAAAGAGTCAAGTCTTAACTCATCCAAGGTAATAAAAAAAAAACAAAAAGCAATCCCAGGGGGTCATGATATAAGAATTTTATGAAGACACTTCAGAGGGCAGACAAAATAATCTAATTTCCCAGAGACCTCGTATTTTGTTATTTTTGAAGTTGCCTTTCAGGTGTTTTATAAAATCATATTGATAAGTGCAGTAAACTGATGGTAAATTAAATTCTCTAGGAGATAAATTAATTACATTTTAGCAGTAATTGGATGGTTCAAAATTGCCTTATTTTTTTTGATGAGGTCACAGAATAGTGTTTATTTCAAACAACAGTTAAGAATAATAGAATTTCGTCCGAGGCATTCTTGAAGGTCGTATTGTCCAGCTCTGTAATACAAGCAGTGGTTAAAGCACAAGCTCCGGAGAGGTTGAGTGGCTGCCTGTAGGTACAACACCTGAGGCGGGGCGGGAACACAGGGCTCCTGCTTCCTAGTGTGTTGTTCTTTTCACTGTGTAGGTGAACTAAGTGAGCTGAAATTTATATGATGATCTACTTACTAACTTTTAAAGAAATAATAATAAACAACATTTATTGAAGACTTGCTATATTTCGAGGGCAGCATTGATTGGTTCTATTTTATTCTTGTATAAACTTTATGAAATGGAGTTTAAATATGAGAAAACTGAAGCTTATTGAAGTCAAAGAACCAACCCCTGATGGCAGTAAAGGGGAGAGCTGGGATTCAGATACAAATCCTTCAGCTCCAGAGTTCGCGCCATCAGCCGCCATTCTCTGCAGCTCTGCGTTTGAGTGGGGCCGGGTAGAAATTCAACTCAGGGTGGTTTGCAGATTTGTAAAATGGGGATCATGACAGAACCATATTTTCCCATCTGTAAAATGGGAATAATAATAGTACCTATTTCATAGGGTTGTTGTGAAAATTAAATGAGTTAAAATAGAATAGAGATGAAATTCTCAGAACAATCTTAACACAGAGTGGGCATTCAATAAATGTTAGCTATGTCACTAAACACCTTAGAAATTTATTGAAGATCTTTCAGAGCTCACATAGAAGTAGAGGGGACCCTCTCCGAAACAGATCATCAGAGGAAGTCCCATGTGTAGATGAAGAGGTCCGAGGAATATTTTCATGCCAATTTATTCTTTGGTGCCCCAGTTGAGTGGAAAAGTGGATCATTTTTTTTGAATAATATTCCATTAGTAGCAATACAAGAAAGGGAGACTGTGCATTCTGCCTAGAACGTGATGATCTGCACCCCCACGGTCCCCTAGTTGTGCACCAGGGCAAGGAAGGTTAGAAAGATGGAATGAGAAGATGGGTTGGTATCTTTTTTCTTTTGACAGAGTTCTGAGCTGCACCTTGAAACGGGACCTTCATTAATTCATTCAGCAAGGAATGTGTGCTACTTGCTGGGCAATTTTCTAGGCATTTGGCATGAGTAAAACATAGCCCCTCTTACATGATATGATGCAGACAAACGCATAAGTGATAAAATTACTGCAGCACACAAGAAATGGTAAGCGGACCAATCAGCTTTAAACAAAGAGCTGTGGGAATCGTGATGAGGGAGTAACTGCTATCTAGAGGAGCCAGGAAGCTTCCTAGAGGAAATCTCGGAGTTGGCTTGGAGAGCCACGTATGAGTCTCGCAGGCAGTGAGGATAGAAGGGTGTTTCTAGACGGAACCAAAGGCGTGAAAGGATGCTCAGCGGGGAAAACACTGGGTCTGGGTAGAGGCCATATCGAGAAGGGGCAAATAACTCTGGAGAGGTTGTGTGGGATCAGCTTGTACATGTTTGTCACCTGAATGAGTGTGCGTGGGCTGGGGATGGGACAGAAGATTGTGTGTGTTAAGGGAATGTCCATGTGGATGTCGCACGAAGGTGTGGGATTGAGAACTTTCTCCAAGTGGAAGTCCGAGGGGAGTAGGTCGTATTGTTTCAGACGATAAGGTGATAAATGGGGACGAGGTGGGCCGCCCGATGACTTTGTAGGGCATGGGCAGGATCTGAAACTCCAGGAGACCGTCTGGAGAAGATAAAGTCATCGTGGTCAATGCTGTGATGATTCTCGTGGTGACATAGCACTATTTATTATCTGTCCTTTTCATTTGGTGCTTAGCGCAAGCTACTTCGTTCCACTGTATGTGTGTGTGTGTGTGTGTGTGTGTGTGTGTGTGTGCATACACATGTTCCCAGCTCCTAAAGCAGAAGGTCGCAAGCTCTTTGTTGGCGGTAACCGTGATGTGGTCCAATCCTAGGCTTAATAAACATTTGAAAAGTTAGTTTATTTGTAGACAGAATTGCTTGGGCTGAGAATAATAGTGACGAATCTTGTATTAATGAAGTATGATTCAGGATAAAATTTTTACAGCGTTGTAAAAATACAATACTTGGGCTTTTTAAAAATTAGATTACTTCGGACTTGGGGGGGGCAAGGGCGACAGACGTAACCTAAACATCTGTACCCCCATGATATACTGAAGTAAAAAATAAATAAATAAAAATTAGATTACCTGTACAGGAGTAATGAAGCATATTGCTAAAAAAAAGTGGGCCAGCCTGGCAGGGTTTGCAATCTGGCTTTCTATCCACGTGACCTGGGCAGCGTATTTGGACACCATATGCTTTGGTTTCTTTAACCACAGGAAGGAAGTAAGAGTCGTGCTCATCTCTCGGGGTTTTGTGAGGATCGAAGTGCTGGTCCGCGGTGATTGCGCAGCCGGTGCCTGGCACGTGGCGACCGCTCGCTGGGTGGGAGGTGTCACTAGTGAGCTCCACCGACGGTGCCGATGAGGAAAGCGGCCCAGCATTTAAAGATGTTCTCTGGATATTTAAAGGTCTGACAACGCAGAGGCGGCTTTCCCGTCTTCCACAGTGTGCTTTGCGCCCAGCGTGCGGGGCCACAGGCAAAGCCATGTGCTGTGCGGTGCCCAGGGCCATACTGCGTTTCAGCCGCCCTGCCGGAGGGGGCTGTCCTGGGTGTGTCACACCTGCATTACCGTTTTGTCTCTAAACCAACTGCTCTAGGATCAAGAGGGGGAGGTTGAGACCCAAAGGCAATAGATCACACATGCCATTAGCTCTAGAGCTTAAGATGACATTCATTCGTTTACTCTAAGCAACACTTACTGAGTACCTGCTGGATACCAGGCGCTGCGTATAGAGAGATGAAAGATGTACGACCCCTTTCTGTCACCAGCATCTCCTCCGCGTAGGACGTTTCGCAGTCCGTGCTTGGCAGGGCCAGCCGTGCGGTGCAGCCACTCCCTCCGTGCCCGTGTGCTCACTTCCTGAGGCGACCGTAGGGCCCAGGAGGCCCCAGCTGGGGGCCCGAGGTGCCGCCTAATCCCAGGAGGTGCTGTCCTCAGGAAAGTGATCCGACAAGCTCTGCGTCGGCTGCGTGGTCACCTTGGAGCTAACCCACCCTGACCCATCTCCACGCCTGCGCTCTGCCACCATCTCATTCCTTGTCGCTGGAGCTCACATGGCCTCTGGATCCCTCCCGAAGCCTGAGTTTTAAACTAGACCTTGAGCCACAGGGGAAACTAGGTGGCTTGGCGCCTTGGACCTCAGACTGTTTGTCACTGTTCTAGGTGACAAATTCCCTGTAAACTGTAAAACTCTTTAATCCCATGATGATGATTTAGGGCTGATGAAAGCATAGGCAGTATTGCTATTTACGCAGCATTATTAATGCTTACTGTACTACGTTGATAGTCTCGGTTTTCTATGTAATTTTCACTGAGAAGATTTTGTTGTTCTAAAGAAGATATCCGTTTGAAGCTTTTAAAGATGCTTTTAAGCGTGTTTCAAGCTTCGTTTGGCCCTTTTGCTCGGATTGATTTCTTCTCTCCCCTCCCTCTCACCCACAGTTTGGGGATACGGATTCCTGTCGGTGACAATTATTAATCTGGCGTCTCTCCTCGGATTGGTTTTGACTCCGTTGATAAAGAAATCTTATTTCCCAAAGATTTTGACCTATTTTGTGGGGCTGGCTATTGGGACTCTTTTTTCAAACGCAATTTTCCAACTTATTCCAGAGGTAAGGATGTTGGCCGTTTGTTTCTGTGAATAATTGTTTCTTTTGAGTGTCTTAGCACTTTGTACATTTATAGCCTCCATAATTCTCACAGCATTTTATGGTCTGGTTTCTAGCGTTCTGGCTAAGAGAGAGCTGAATCACAGCTACTGTAGAGGCTCGTCCCAAGCTGCAGTGGATCTCAGTGTCAGAGACAAAATTAGCATTCCAGGATGCCAGCTGCCAGGACGTGCTCAGACAGTTCGAGGGCACCTGTGAAGGCCTTAGAACTTTATTCTGCCTTGCAGTTGGCAAATTTAATCTTTCTACACACTGTTTCATTATTCATTTATTTTTTCTAAAGGGCATGCAGTGTTAAATTTACTGCAAATGTCTAATGCAAATTTATAATTTATTTAAGATACAGCACCAAATTCCCTCGTATATCTACTACAGCTAGAGAAGACTAGAGGGTAAACGAGAGTGTGGTTGACAAATCTTTTCATTTTTTTTTGACTGTGGAAAAAAAATCAATTGAAGGTTAATAAATAGCAACTTATTTTTTTTCTTTTGATAAATGCATCATTGATCTGACATTGACTACAGGCCCTATTCAATTAAAATAATATGTGTGCTTGAGTTCAAATACACATTGTAGCCGTATATGGAGGAGAAACAGGGGAAGGAAAATAAGCGAGAGGAAAAGAGAGGGGACGCTGAAGAGCAGGGAAAAGAGAAGGAGGTAGTAACAGGAGGAAGCCACAAAGGGGAACTGGAGAAATCTGTCCACGCATAGACGCTGTCCGTCTGTCCACAGTGCACACACAAAGAGGGAGAGACGAGCCCCAGAGGGAAAATAGTATCTCAGGAGTTCCACCCTTATCTCATAATTTTTATAAAATTATAACTAAAGCTTCTTTCAGTTTTCAAGCTATGTATGAAAATGAGGGTACAATTTTTTAGAGCTGTAGATTTGTTATTATTATCATCATTTGGTCTAGAAGGGGCCTGGGAGAATATCTACTTCAAACCCTCAACTGTAGAGATGAAAAAAAATGAAAATGACTTGATGATAGCCATACAATTGGCTAGTAACAAAGGTAGAATGACCATACTGATTTTCTGGTTAAAAAACCATAGTATATTAAATGTGTGTGATATATTTAATATAATACAATATTATATGTATATGTAGTTATTATCTCATCTGCTTCGTGGGTCAAATTAAATTAAACAAACTGATATTACATATGGGTTGGAGATGCTACATCTATGATTTTAAGGTTTTCCATTTTATTGGAAATGTAGCAATATAAAAAATCTGTCTTTGTGATAATCTCTCAAATTTCCATAGAGAGTTATTTATTTTTTTTGGCAAAATTCTTTTCCTTTTGTTGTTTTATTTTTATAACCTCGGTGTTAGGTCAATGGTGCAGGTATTTTTACACCATTTTTGCACTGTATAAACAGGTACGGGGAAGTTGCTCAAATGAAGAAGTGGCCACGAGGTCTCTTCTGAGGCAGACGTAGGGCAGGAACCCAGACGTCCTCTTTGCTGCTTCAGAGGGGAGATTTTCAGTGCGTGGAATGGTGTAAAGTTGCAGTTTTTCACATATTACTCTCTCCTCCTATTTTATCTGTTTTTTAAGTTTTCTTTCTTGTCTGTTAGGGATACCTTGACTGTTCGTAACTTCAAACTCTAACTCTTGTTTTTTGTCCTTTAAACAAAGGATTATTTCATTCTTTGTGTGTGTGTGTGTGTGTGTGTGTGTGTGAGAGAGAGAGAGAGAGAGAGAGATTGGGGGCAATTTTCACTCTTTTCTTTGTTGTTCTTGGGCCTAGTTCTTGGTTTATTTACCTTTTTAGGACTTACCAGGATTCTCTAGGTACAAGAGGATCTCTCTTGGGAAAACACTAACCCAAGTGGCCTGCCATATTTGCTTTAAAAGTTTGACTCTGGATATCATGGGCAAATGTATTACTTTTAGAGAACGTAGGTAATCGTCTCGTTGATCTTCATTGCCTAGACCTAATATTGTCTTCCAAAGATGGGAATCAGTTCTGCGTCTTTGGTGTTGAAAGTTTACTCTTTGAAGGCAAATATTGCTGTAAGTGTGCTGTAATAGTTAGGCAATTGTAAGATCCTATGCTGGCTTTATTTCAGGGGATTTCTTCTGGTTATAAGATTTCTATGACATCTCATACAATTTGCTTACTCAAATTTCAGAGTTTTTGTTTTGTGATTTTGGCAGGTAAATTTCTAATGTTACCTGTATGTGAAGATGGACTTAGAATTTTGGCGAAAATTGTATACTGAGAAATTATGGTATTATTTTCCAGAAATCAAGTTATACTACTTGTTTTTACTTGAATTGCTTTTTCTTTCCTCCCTCAGGCATTTGGATTTAATCCCCAAATTGACAACTATGTTGAGAAGGCAGCTGCTGTGTTTGGTGGATTTTACTTACTTTTCTTTTTTGAAAGAATGCTTAAGATGTTATTGAAGACATATGGTGAGGTAATTTAAACATTTGATGTTTTACCCCTAAAGCTACTTTATATAGGCAAATACAGGCAGGAATTTTATTCTTAGAATTATATGAACAGTCCAGTTATTAGACTTGTGAATATGAGAAGAAAGAAAAGAGTCAATATCTTGACAAGCATTAGAGAAATACTTGATTCGTGTTGTAGAATTTGGAACAAGTACTAACAATTTAATGGTGAAGAACAAATGCGCATAATTTGTATTCCATTTATATTCATCAGAATAAGAAAGTACATGTACCCTAACATGAAAAAACAGAAACAACAGAATCTAATAAATGAAAATACATTTAAAGAGAGAGAAAATTTATAAATCTAAAAAGATTTCATTACATAAAGAATAGACATAAAAATTTTCTGAGTGAAAAGCAGTAAACTCTATTTTCTTGTCTGTATGAGCGATGTTTTTTTTTTTCTTCTTACAACCTCTTCACCCTTTTTTTGTTTTCCCATGTAGAATGATCATACCCACTTCCATACTGATGACTTTGGTCCTCAAGAAAAAGCCCGTCAACCTAAAACCTTACCTGGTCTCAATGGTGTCACGTGCTACGCAAATCCTGCTGTCACAGAGCCTAACGGACACACCCACTTTGACAGTGTCAGTGTGGTGTCTCTGCAGGTATATGCTGACCCCCTTCTCCCTTCACCATACTGCCCTCTTTGGACCGTGTAACAACTGCTGTGCACGCAGCCAAGTGAGCATTTCGTACATTTAAGTATGTCAGACTCATTCCTGTGGATGTTGGCTAAGTGTGTTCTTTTCCCTCTTTCCCTCTGAACAAGTGAATTAAGTCAGAAACTGTGGAGCATGGGGTCTGGGGCTTCATTATTCTCTGTGATAGTCACCATACAAGAGTCTCTCACTTAGATTTATACAATAATATGTAGCAAAATTAATTCACAGCATTTATTTTATTTTATAATTCTTTCAAGGTCCAAAATCAAAGAATCTTTGGAGTAATTTTGGAACTGTAAGAAGAAAGAAGATTTGTAAGCTATTAAAATTGTGTTTATTAATTAAATGACTTAGAACTCGTATCTGCATATTCTAGATAATATTATTAATAAGTACCATTTCTTTAGCAAGTATTATATGCCAGGTACTATGCTAGGTACTTAATTGTTTGATCTCATTTTCTTATTATAATAACTGCCCATTGTAGGGATGATTTCCTATGTATTAGAACTATTTTGATTTCCAGTGTTGGGAATCAGACTCAAATTACATATGTACAAAGAGTTTATTGGAGAGATACTGGGATGTCTCATGGAACAGCCAAGCTACAGGAGGAACGAGAAAACATGATTGGTCATGTGCTTCTCTCTATGTGATTAAGGAAAATCTCAAGTGTATTTGAAAAGACAGTTTTGTGTTAGCACTAAGAGGAAATTAGTTTATGTAATATAATGAATTTCAGCCAAGATTTTGCAAAGATATGGAGATGTTCAAATAGACAATTATTTATAATAATTATACCTAACATTTATTAAATGCTCAAGGACCACGCCTAGAATGTTAGATGAATTACCTCTTTGATCCTCATAATAACCTAGGGGACAAGTTCTGTTATATTTAGGAGACAATAGCTTAGAGAGTTTAAATAACAAACCCAAGGACACACAGCTCCTAAATGGCAAAGCTTGGACCAGTACCCAGGCCGTCTGATGCTGAAGCCTGTGTTCTCAGAAACTTTGCTGTGCTGCCTCCCTCATGTCATTGCTCTACTAGAAACAAGATGACAACATTAACTCTTAGTAAATATGAATTTTTGTAGCAGGAGAAAGATAATTTGCCCAAGGATATTGTTTTCTATGGATATACTTTAATGCAGGGCACAGCAGAGAGAACCTAGAGAATGATCGTTAAAACCTTGCCTCACACTATGTGTCTACGTTCCAGTTGCCTGATGCAAGCTTTTGGCAAATACTCGATCACAGTGAAATGGTGGCTGAACTCTGACAAGTGATTCAAGTGGTGCCGATCAGCTGCGTTGCTGACTTAAACATCGATTGATAATTCTTCAGACACTATAAGATAGAGGGATACTCTGTCATGAGATTTGGAACCTAACATGAATTCTTGCTCCTATGGAAGGTCCTTCGACATTTCCCAGAGTTAACAGGATAACCTTAGGCAGGGCCACACTTCCATGGAGGAGCTTTGAACCTGGTCCAACCTTGACCGAGATCTCCACTGGGACCCCAAGTCCTGTCACACAAAGCATGGAAGAGATATAGTTTGGGATTTGAAATATTTAAGGGGCTGACGACCTTCTTGACCATAGTAGAACCTCAGTGTGAATTCTCCTGATTTCAGGAAGGCTCCTTCTTACGAAACTTCCAGGGAAAGCTAGCTTCTAAAGGTACCTTGAGTATCAGAATGAGCTGATAGGAAATTTACATTTAGACAGGAGAATGTTTGCGAAAGGTTCTAGCTTTTGTAAGAGGCTAAAATATCTTTTGTCATAATTAACAAATAAACTGAACTGCTCAAAAGTTTTATTTAAAGTTTTAAGGCTCCTGGGTTAGCATTATCTATGGCCGGAAGACAGGTCTGCAGTGGATCTAAGCACCAGGACAAAGATGGAGTCCCCAATATGATCCTATTTTACATAATTTAGAAATATAGTCAGAAGGCTGTTTTTACTCCGCTGCTCACAGGGAGTGCTGGCATACTGGCTTTCGCTCATTTACTCAATAAAACTTGGTCGAGTATCTGCTCATTCTAAGCGCTGGGGATTCAGAACCAAACAAATTCTAGTAGAGTTTACAGTTTATTCAGTGGAAACAACATAGAAACAAGCAAAGCTAGAAAATATCAGATAGCAATAATACTTGGATGGAAACAAAACACTGTGATGTCAGAGTGATGTGTGGGTTCTTCTTTTGATTGTCTGGTCAGGAAAAGTCCCTCAAAAGGTCAGCAGACAACTGCATAATGAGAAAGAACCAACCCTGCAGCTATCCGGGAAAAGAATCTATAAAGGCTTTGAGAATAACCAAACAGGTCACATCAGAGGGAACCGGATTCTAGACGGTTCTGGACTCCCCACATCAGCACGGAGAGTGGCACGGTTCCTTCAGTATTCCAAATGGGAACAACTGGAATTGTAAACCCGGGAAAGCTACCCATCTGGTGAGAGGGTGGAGCGGAGCTGGGATTCTGGGGACACACTCGCAGGCACAGGAGGTGAGCTGAAGAGAGCAGGGCAGGCGCGTGTCCGGGGGGCGGCCGTGCATCAGGCCCCGAGACGGGGCGTACACATAGTCCCGACACTGATTTCTTATGGGGACTGTTTTCTTGCCATTTTGCTTAGAAGTATAGTCTCAAATAGAGACTTAAACAAATGGAACAACAGACTGCTATTTTCAGTTTTCTTTATATTGCTCAAAAAATGGAAAGAAGTGAAATTTAAGAAATAATGTAAAGGCCTGGATATTGCTTTAAGAGAGTAGGTATTGCAATGTAAGCGATCGTAATTTCTTCTAATATTTTATATTATAAAGATTAACCTAGGTGATCCCATTAAAGTGATTCATAGTAAAATCCATGGTTCTTTTGAGTCCAAGTGTGGCTTTAAGGCTTTTGTTGACAGTTCCGCTTGCTACTGCTTCAACAAAGTTATTCCAAATCGAAAATAATAAGGAGCTATCTAAAAATTACAGCGAGTTAAGGAAGGGGGAGTCTAATTTGGCATTACTATCAATAGAACGCAAGTTATGTGAAAACATAGATTATAACAGCATGCTTCTTGATTTTGCAGAAATAGAGGAAGATAAAGAAATACTGTAGAATAATTAAAACGTATAACTGGCTGGGCGCGGTGGCTCACGCCTGTAATCCTAGCTCTCTGGGAGGCCGAGGCGGGTGGATTGTTTGAGCTCAGGAGTTCGAAACCAGCCTGAGCAAGAGCGAGACCCCGTCTCTACTAAAAATAGAAAGAAATTAATTGGACAACTAAAAATATATAGAAAAAATTAGCCGGGCATGGTGGTGCATGCCTGTAGTCCCAGCTACTTGGGAGGCTGAGGCAGGAGGATCGCTTGAGCCCAGGAGTTTGAGGTTGCTGTGAGCTAGGCTGACGCCACGGCACTCACTCTAGCCAAGGCAACAGACTGAGACTGCCTCAAAAAAACAAAACAAACAAAAAAAACGTATAACTTAGGGATGTCTTTATTATTCATCCAAACAATTCTGGCTCATCACAGAATACTCAGATGTGCACTAATATTTAAATTTACTAGTCTTTGGTGTTCTGTCTGTATTCAGTCATATAAAAACCATAGCTTTCCACATTTTGATTTTGTCGTCATAGAAGCATATTTAATTGCAGTTGGAGGATATCTTATTTAGCAGTTAGCTTGACTGTAACTTTTAAATATTTAGACAAAATGATTTAAGGTTTCCTTAGTACCTTTGCTTCAGACCCAGTGAATGTGAAGCACAGTGGTCCGTGGCACCCGCGTGCCTGTCCGGACAGGCATGTTTTGGGGACAGTGAGGATAATGGGAGGAAACGAGGAAATGGGCAAGGAGAGTGCAAGATTCTGTTTCTTCAGTTACTCGGTTGTCGCTGCTGGCTGATGGGTCACGCCGCACCTGTGACGTGGCTTTGCTTTTTCCCTCTGACTTTCCTGTCTGGCCACGTGCAGGAGTCATTTCAGCATCTACGCAGCCAGGCGGGGCTTTCTCTCCAGCCCACAGCCTTGGGAGGACGTCCTTTGCTGGGTTTCCATTGCTGGGGAGCGTCGGGTGCTTTGGGGACTGTGTTAGCTCCTCAAGGCCGCTAGAGGGACCCTCCAGCTCATTCCTCCGGCAGGAGGACTCCGTCTCTCCTTTATGAAATAATCTCTCGTGCTTTCGTTTAAAAGTAGATGCTAGTAAATATAAAGCGATATGATCCACTTATTTTTATAATAAAAGAGAAATTAATGACAGCAATTTTTAGAAGGTGACTATTGTGAATTTTAAGTTTAAAATTGAGGCGTAACGAAGTAGAATTTAGCTGCAAAGCGTGATGATGTTAGGGAGACTGACTTTGTCAATGATATGAAACGATACTGTACGAATACAATGATGACAGTTTTGAGGTGTTTGGGTCTTTATGAGAGTTTAAATACACATAATTCATTCAACAAATATTTATCGAGGACCTAACATATATACTTGGCATTTTTGTGTGTACTGGGAATATACATCAATGGGACCGAATAGACAAACTCTCTGCCCTTCTGTAACATAACTGCAGTGATATACATTTTGCATAGGAAAATGGAAAGCATTCCTTTTTTTCAAGGATGAGATACAGAAAACTGATTGGAAGCACTGGGCGTATACGTGTGTGGGGCTTGTGTGCGGGTCTTCGCGGAGGTTGGTTTCTCTCCGTTCTCGCGTGGAGGTGGAAAGAAGGGTGGCGTGTACCACTGGCTGCCTAGTGGGAGGCGGAGTGGGAACAGAAGGGGGCTGGAGCACTGGGAATATTTGACCCAATACCGCTGTCTTTTTCTTTTTTTCATCCTTGCATTTTTCTTTTTCACATGGACGAGTTTAAGGGGTACAAGTGCAGCTTTGTTGCATGGACATATTGCACAGTGCTGAAGTCTGGGTTTTAAGTGTAAC